TATATATATATAAAAAAAAAAATATATATATATATATAAAATAATTTTATCTAAAAAATACCTGTATGGCAGTATATTCTGCAGTTCTTCCCTGCTGTACCGAATATCTATACTTTTCAAAGTATCATATTGAAGTTAGAAATTCAAATATTGTGACAAAATTAATTTTGTAGGGTGCCACAAATTTGCCGCGACTAAAGAAAGGTTTGGAAACACTGATCTAAACTATGTATTTTTTATGGACACAGAAATCACTTCCATCCTTGACTGAGCAGATTCAAACTAGGCTACTCAGTGTGCAACGAGACCTTAAAAACTATGAGCAGGGTCCACCTCTGGAAGAAGAGATGATGGGACCTTTTCTCAGTGAGGTAAGAGCTCTGAGAGTAGATCACCATAAATGTTATCTATCCAGAAATAATGTTATTGCATTTAAAATGTGTCATCATCTTATATAGATTATCTTGGTGTTCAGTGATCAAATAAATGAACTGAGTAGAACAGGACATTCAAAAGACAAAAACATTTACATAAGCCTACGTCCTATATTCAAGAAATGGGACATCTACCTAAGAAGCACTGAAGTATCATGTGAGTCAAGATATATAAACATGTAAAACTATTTGTTCCTAGTAGGACTATATCTTAACTTTCCTATCATCATTACAAATGTAGTCAAAGCAAGAGTGACAGAAATGATAGAAAAGTATAATGAGATCCATCGGGGCAGAGAATTGCTAACATTCAGTGAGTTCTGTGAATATGAATGTGTCATCCAAAACCACGTGGCAGCCCTTCAAGAGCCAGCCATGGCAACACTGAAAGATGTACGAGGTACAGTGTCTTTTATTTTTATTGTTTTGTAATTTATTGACAAGTATAGAAATTAGATAACATTTATTATGTCCCATTCAAAATAATCTACAGCATACAGAAAAAACATGATTTCTTTCATTAAAAAAAAAAAAAAAAAGCCTAAGTATTGCTTTAAATTAAAACACTTTCCTTCATGTCAAACTAACATTTTATTTTCAGAGATTGTTCAGAATGTGTTCAGGGAGGTATGTTATTTGTCTTTTGACCAGTACCCTCCAATGAGATACATTGTCTCTGTAAGTTAAACAACTAATACTATTCACACAATTATTATTATTATTATTATTATTGTCATAATTTTTCATGTATTACCTTGTATTCCTCAGAACATGATTAATGACATTCAGACAAAGCAAGAGGCCAAAGCAGAGAAAAGAATTAAAGAGTTCATTAATATGGAGAAACTGGTCTTTACTCAGGACAAGGTATTACAACAGAAACTCAATGACTCTGACATCCCTCAAAAGACTGGGATAGAAACAAGTGACAAGAATCACTGTGATGATGACACAATATTTAACTCAAAAGGATGTGCATTGTTGGATACGAGAAATCTTGTACCAGAGAAACTGGTTCTCTATTATGAGGTGGGTATACCATACCATACAATTATTTAAAATGTTTTTTTTTTTTTTTATTGTAAATACTATGGATTATGAGGAACCCCAAAATGTGGCAGTATAAAGTATCTTTATACTGTAATGTTGCATGATGAAATGCAAGCAGAGATGTGAATCTATGTGCTGGAGATTTAATAAAAGTAACAAAAAATTGAACAACCAGGAAAAATGGGAACAAAAACACAGGCAAACAGAACAACCATTACATTAGACAACTGACAATAAACAAGAGAAACACTAGGGCTGTATATACACAGGAGAACAAAAGGGACCAATGAGTAACTATGACACTAACAAGGCAGGGGTGTGGTTAATGAATTGCTATGACAGCTAAAGGCCCTGATATACTTCAAGCGAAATCGAAGAACGAACTGGTGTGATGTCATTTCGAACAAAATCCGGCCAAAACGAAGTTCGTTTTTGTATTCTTTTTGGGAGTTTGAAACGGCTTGCCAAAGCGAACTTTCCAGAAAAGTTTGTCGCGGCTGCAAAACAACTTCGTACTACCATTGATCCATGACGATTACGTCATGCTGAGGCTACGCCTTCTTTCATGAAGAGCTCTTCTCTAGGATCATTCCGTCTGTCGAGTCCTTGGAGGTGACATGTTCGCATAGTAGTGATGGGAAGTTTGGATCATTTTACTGACTCGGATCTTTGAATCTCATTCAGCAAAATGAACGAATCCTTTTTCGAACGTCATTTTGTTCATTTAGTTAATTTCAGCAGAATATATTTAAAATGTTACGTGTTAATATCCAAAATCCCCAACACATCTATTTACTCAAACATTGATCACACTATATAAACTATAATGCAACCAAGACCAAATTATAAGAAACAGAAATGATTAATTCATTGCTTAGCTGGATGTGCAGTCTGTTAGTTTACCTCACCTCACGAGCCTACGGGTCGTTCGTTCTTTTGTCATGTCACATCCCTGTAAGGTAAAGCTATGCAGTCTTTACAGGAAAAATAAATTATTATTCATCTCCCGAGTCTTCAGGTTCGAGTCATTCGTTAATCACGTGACAGCAACAGACTAGGGTATGCAGTGTGTACCGGAAAGAGAATTAATTAGTTCACCTCTCGAGTCCTCGGGTTCGAGTCGTTCATTCATCACGTGACAGCCCCATAGCCATAAGGCTATGCAGTCTGTACCGGAAAGAGAATTGATTAGTTCTCCTTTCGAGTCCTCGGGTTCGAGTCATTCGTTCATCACGTGACAGCCCCATAGGCATAAGGCTATGCAGTTTGTACCGGAAAGAGAAATGATTAGTTCATCTCCCGAGTCTTCGGGTCCGAGTCGTTCGTTCTTTTGTCACGTGACTGCTTCCTGGATCAATATTTTGTAATGTTGTGCTATATTTAGGAATTATTAAAGTGATTTTCCCCATCATACGGATAACGTTTAAAGCATTAACCAACCTTTTATTACCACATTCGTTATGGAAAAGAAATTAATACATTTATAAATTATAAGAAATAAAAAGCTATAAAGCTCAAATAAAATTTGAGACCAGAAAAATTACATAACTGTAAGAAACAAACTACGCGCTTGTTTGTAAGGAAGGTTGGGAATTATTAACTCATTTCTATAATTTCCATTGCTTCTTTCACGTCACGTGACAAAATAATGAACGACTCGGACCCGAAGACTCAGGAGATAAATTAATCATGTCTCTTTCCGGTACAGACTGCATAGCCTATAGTCCACTGATTTTCAAAGAGGAATCACTGACTTAAATATACAGTGGGTACGGAAAGTATTCAGACCCCCTTAAATTTTTCACTCTTTGTTATATTGCAGCCATTTGCTAAAATCAT